CAAATAAATCACCAAATACACACTAGGAAACAGAACAAGTAAATTATAATTTTATCCAACTCTGAAGACTTCACAGTTTTGAAAATTTTTAATTGAGCAAATTTTTAAGTTAAAGGAATATGAAATATAAATCTCATTGTTAATTATTCACTAAGGAAAGGAACTATGTGCTCTAGTAACTATGCATAATCACTTTCAAAATAAATTTTTTAAATAACATACAAAATTGGTATGTTATATTGAACATAGAAATAATAAACCCAAACACACTACTGCAATACGCTGGATTTCAGGTGAATTGAAATTATATCTATCAATTTTATGTAATTATAAGACTCAACAAAGATGCATTATTTACTATATCCTTATTAATTATTATATTAAAAATTACCTTTTATAAGCTTGATGAATTTGTAGTCGCATATTCTAAGGTTATTTCTCAACCCCAACCAACTACATCTTGTCCCAAATGCGTAAGATATTGTATTTTTTAATGAGCGATTCACAAATTCTTGATAAGTGGAACCGCCCAATTTTTTTATAAAAGTTACCTACAATTGAACGAAAATTGTAACAAAGTGAATCACAATACATACTACATATATACATAAGATGCTACTGTATTTGGTTCGTTTTTCAGGCATTCTTCAAATTGATGGAGCATTTCTTCGTTGGTAATGGGTAGCTTATTATTAAATAATTCATTCAATTGACTGGCACTACCTTGTTGATCATCTGCACCATGTTCTAATTTTTGTAGCCTCTTGTCTAGGCTTTTGACATAAAACAAAATTTGTGTGGATAATTCCAGTACACGATTGCAGGTCTGCACTGGATCGCCTGCAATAAAATGAGATTGTGAATATGGAATAGTCTCAAGTAATTGTTTTATTAGAGATTGCTTCAGATTTCCACAAGGTCTTTTACTCAATTCTATAGAAACTGAAATAAAAATATAATTTTTATAAACTTACTAAAACTTGGTGTGATAGTTCTAGATGAACTTGGTGTAACAACAGGTGTGGATAAAGTGGCTGTGCCTGCAAAATATAGGTAGCAGTAGTGTGGCAGATATCTTCTTAGATTTCTATTTATTATAATATTTTCAATATTAGTAAAAAGTTAAGTACTTAGATTTATTGGGGTCACTACTTGGGATAATATTGGCGTAGCTGTCCGAGACGTTACTGGTGAAACCTGTGCTGCAGCTTCATCTACACCTATAAAACCAGTTTCTTGTAATAAGGTACTTAATCAAAATTTTTAAATTACCTGACGAGTTATCTCCAGAAGGCAATATGATTAGTGGAACATCAGCCATAGTTAGTTCCACATTCGAACATTGAAAATCTGATTGTGACTGAAATGTTGAGCAAGTGAATTGAGGGGGTGGTGTTTCACATTCTGAAATTGTATTACATTGTAAAATTGAAGCAATAAAATTCATTTTTATAATTGCAATAAGAGATTTTGTCTGATGTCAACCATGATTTGTAAATTAAATTATTGACTAAATATCAATAAAACATCATACCCTTTTCACTATCTGAATCAGATAGGTTTTTTCGTTTTATTTTTCTACGTCCCCTGCCTTTTTCTTCTGAGGACGTATATTCAGGATCCAATGCTTTCAGCCTAGCAGTATGTAATGACGCTGAGCAACATAGAATATAAATATGTTTTATAAGTAATATCTAAAGATGTACAGAACTTACAGCAGTAGAACTCAACTTTCACTGGATGTTGCTCCCAATTTTTTCCGTTAGGTTCTACACATTTTTCCATAAGGGAATTTATATTTTTTATAAGCGGTCCTCGGGGCCACCAGCATTGCTCCTTATTTCCTACAAGCCAGTTGCTTGGAAGTTCAGAGAACGTTCCATCCTCAAATGACACCACACAATATGCCATAGGGCTGACCTGAAACATTTTAACAAAAGTGCACGTATAAAGAGAGAACTAATTAACATCCTACTAATTCATTCAAGCATTCACTTGCGAATTGTAAGGTGTTATAACGTAGTATGAAGATGGCGATATTAGTGCATAATAGTAAAATAGGGTAAATTAATATACAGGGTGTTACATGACCGTATGTAAAAAAAATTGGGTGGAAGAGGGGATCAAAACAAGCACTTTTTCCAAATAAACCGAGGGTCCAACGTGTTTCGTTTAGGAGCTACCCTCAAAAAAGTGGTGAAATTTACATTTCTTCTTTAATTTTTTTCTCAGGCAGAGTTACAAAGATGGGTGGAACGACGAAATTTGGTATCTGGAGGTTTTTGAACATGAAAATCACGAATCTGAAATTAATTTTTAAAAATTCGAAAAAAAAAAATCCATTGCAATTCTTGGTCGGACAACGAAAATGGAAAGAATTTGTTGTGTACATACTTGATGAGTTAAAGAACAAAACTGTCGAACGGTTTTTTAAAATCACATTTCAGAGAAAAGTTATACTCATTTGAAAATTGGCCCTTCGTGTCAGAAAGTGACCCTCGCCTACTAGTAAACCATCTAATTCCGCATGTAGTTCAAAAACCCCCAGACGCCATTCGTCGAGATCAGAATTCTTTTTCACACCCCCGTTTAGGGGTGCGCCATTTAGTGGAATTTTGAAAAAAATGTGGCAAAATCGGAAAGAGCATACCCGAAAACCTATTCAAGGACGTGCCACCCATCTTTGTACCTCTTATGGTTGCTGAGAAAAAATTAAAGAAGAATTGCAAATTTCACAACTTTTTTTAGGGTGGCTCCCAAACGAAACACGTTGGACCCAGTTTATTTAAAAAAAAAATTCTTGTTTTGATCCCCTCTACCACCCAATTTTTTTTTACATACAGTCATGTAACACCCTGTATATTTCTTTACGCTATGCTACGTACAGGAAAACTAATGATATCTAGGTATATGACAAGTAACTTGTGACAACCTGTAACTTAATTGCAATGCAGTAGGGGAATAACTACCATATAATCTTTACTTTCTGGTTCTGGATAAGGTAACTGCAAGCATTTGTATTTAACATCTTCTGGGTTTACATTAAAGGGATGAGTGAAACTGTTTTTGTCTACAAGAAAAATTTGTAAGTGCTCAGAATTGCATGGTTCATCGAAAAAGGAATGCATTGTATTGAAACTGATAAGTTCTATCGTTATTTTGTTACTAATTGAAGTAATATTTTGAATAATTGCAATTTTTCCGTTCTGTAAACATATGCAACTATTAGCTTTTGTTTTAGAGCAAGAAAAATTCTCAAACTTTAAGGTAATATAATCTTTCCCTTTATATACACATGGGTAATCTAGTTTTAGGGGACCTTCATGCTTAAAATCATTCATTTCATGCAATCTATTTGCAATCTGATGTAACGGCTTCCCTGAATGTTTAATTTTTTGTTTCAATTTGTAAAGATACGACTCGAATTTAAAACTTGAAAAGGAATCTAAGGTTCCCAAATTGCGAACATCATTTGGTAAATGTATTAAACTATGAACATTGTATGATAACCATTCTTCACCATAAATTTCGCCAAACTTTTTTACAAAATGTTGTAATAACTTCTCTGAATAGTTTAACATATGCTTGTGATGGACGCTACATAGGATTCTAATAGAAGTGGTTAAACACAACATGTGTTTGTAGTATCGTTCTGGAAGGGCGTCTTTTAAAACAACAATTCCTGTATATAAAATGAATAATCGGAATTCAGTGGCTTTCCAAAAATCAATTTCAGAAATGTTTCTCGGTTTGCGAGCAAATTCACAAGGAATAAATTCCTTAATAGAAGAAATTCGTGATTCGATTATTTTTATTTTATCCGGTTTAAGTTTAATTTGAATATTACCTTTAAACCATAGTTTAATAAGACGCTTTGTGACACCTAAACACACTAAGTGCATATAGTCTAATGGTACTTGTGATACCATACCAATTCCTAGACGCTCTACAAGTGTTGACTCCCTATGATACTCCTCTTGGGTTCTATTTTTAAAGGAGTCATCAGTACGTAATGGTTTGTTTAATTCGGGAAACACCACTCTTCTTTCTATATAATCTCCTTCCTCAGTACACTTAGAGCAACCAAAGTACCCTGTATGATGTTTCACTCCACAAATAAATGCTTTGGCAGGTGCATCACACACAAGACTGTTAATTTTCAGCTTTATTTGCTGTCCATCAACACAAAGATTATTTTGCATTACAGATATTGCTTCATTTACAAACGGGGCCAAGAATTCATTGACATTACTAGGTTTATGTAATCCATAGAATACCCCAATTAAAAAAGGCTCGGTATAAAAGTCTACAACTAAACTACCAAGAATTGGCCAGAGTTGGCCCGTAGAACTTTTTGAAATAGGTAATCCATCAATGTTAACATTTATTTTAATTTCAGATGGGTATATTTTGATAGGGAAATACCTTCTTAAAGTGGAATATAAAGCTTTTGCCAATCCATAATGAAAATATTGTCCATTTTCAAAGTTTTTAACAATTTCATTTTCATAGTTGGTTCTTGGTGTTTTCATTAAAGTTCGACAGTCTTTTGGTAAATTGTGACCTTGCTTTCTTAAAATCGATAGCAAACGTGACACTGCTGCCTGTGTAATATTTTCTTCAATTACCCAAGAACGTAACTCATCAGACAACGATTTTTCTTCACTTATACACTCGGTTATGCATTCAGTATCAAAAGTGTCAGGTACTACAGCTACTTCATCAACAGGAACAGGGGATTGCAAAGGATTAGTCTCGGGATTAGTACTACATTGCAAAACATCGGGGTCAGTCACCACATAATCTGAACACAAGCTTTGAATTCCAGGGAGATTGTTATCAATGCAATTATTTGTTTGGGAACTCATATTTGAAGAATGTATATCAAATTTCACACGGCTACTTTTTAATTCAGATAATACCAATCTTCTTTTCTGCCTAGAAGACAAGTTACAGAAATCTTTGTTGGGCATTTTTACAATAAAATGGTGGATAAATTACAAGAACGACAAACAACAAAAATTAAGATTGTTTTCCGCATAGAATTACCAAGTTTTCCGTTATAAAACTTTACTCTTAGATATCCTTGTCTAAGACTTTACTACTGAACTTAACCTTCAAATGTGAGATACGCGATATTTTATGATTTTACATACAAGCAATACATTTGCCATTATACTCACCTTAATATACAAAAGAGCACAAAACCAAACTAAGTACTATACACTACACCAGACTGTGGTAAACGTAAAAATAAATAAAAAAACTACAAATTGAAGACGCGCACTACAAGAAAATGTTAGTCAGCATCCAGCAACTGACGCGCACCTCGCGGGCGAAACATCAAACATGTAATGGAGGGAAAAATTGTTTTAACGCGTTCTGTAAATGTTACATTTCCGTTCTGTATCATTTTAGTGCACTTTCAAAAATAATTAAAAGTGCACTTTTGCGCTCTTGATGTCTGGCTAACTGTCTGTCTAGAGTCACAAAGGCTCCGGAAGTACACTACTTAGAAACTTGGTATTGGTGTCATTCGATCAGAAATCAAAAATTATTTAATGTTTTTATAAGCTGGTGAAAGTGCACTCTTCGCCTCTTGCTCGCAAGCGGCTTGACGAATTGTTGTTACTGCAATCCTCATCCGCAATAACTATGGTATCAATGTTACCGTAGGGTTACGTAAAAGCAATGTAGCACAAAGATATAAATTAGATACGTGCAAAGCTATGTGGCAGATATGTAGCAATTACATTGTTCCCTAGGAGTTACATAAATGCAGAGTAACATTGGAATGTAACTGATACATATAAAGTGTAACGTGGAAGTTATGTAACTATTACGGTAGTGTTTGCTGGGTGGTGTGACATTATCATCCCGTACACTTCAAGAAATTTCAAAAGTCATTCTGTCATGTAAGAAACTTGTACCACTGGAAATTTCAAGAAAACCTAGATCATTGTCAGATATACACCATTGGAAAGCAACTGAATTACGAAATTTTCTTTTATATATAGGTCCTGTAGCATTAAAATCCAAATTGAATAGAGATGTTTATCTAAATTTTCTTACATTGCATGTTGTAATAAGAATCCTTTGCTGCCCTGCTTCTATTTTGAGAGAAGAAAATATCGAATATGCTGAAAATCTATTAAAACATTTTATTAAATCCTTCGAGCTCATTTATGGTACTCATAATATTTCTCATAATGTCCATAATTTGTCTCACCTTAGTGGGGATGTTAGAACCTTCGGAGCACTAGATGAATTTAGTGCATTTAGGTTTGAAAATTTTATGTCAACCATTAAAAGCCATATCCGAAAAAATGAGAAACCTCTTCAACAAATAGCTCGTCGGTTCAATGAAATTGAAAATTTAAATTTTTCAAGCAATAACAGATCATCAAATAAATCAAGCCTGTATAAAATTAAGAATTGCTTCCTAGATCTTTCCAATATGAAAGATTGTTGTGTATTGTTGGACAACGAGAATATTGTACATATTAAACAAATACAAGATGACACGATAACAGGATATTTATTTACAAAAGAAGGAAATTTGTACACATCTCCGTGCAAATCAGAATGTTTAAATATTTTCCTTTTATCTACAAGTTTTACAAGGGTGTCTTCTTCAATAAATTCTGTAAAAGCAAAACTATGGATATTGCCGTATAAAGGCGATTCATATGTTGGAGTTCCAATTTTACACTCGATTGATTAGATAGGATACTAGCATAAGAATAAGTAATAATGTTTATACCTATAACACTGTAATATTAAGGTAGGTTATTGAAGTGCATATAATTATGTAAATTATTTTTATTACAGGCAATTAATTAATATGAATTATAGTATAATTCAATTTGAAGATGGTGTGGAAGTAGTACCAGACAAATGGTTGGTTGGAGAAAACATGTGTTACTGGCCACCAATGAATTCTGATAAATTAACTCTACATAAATTGGTTTTGTCCAAAGCAAACGTTGAGAAAAATTGGGTCCAATACAAAATTTTAAAAATATTTTGTCATGCCGATAAGTGTTAGGTTAGGTACGTTTAAATGTGATTGTTAAATTAATAGAGTCATGTTATAATGCAGATACTTACCAAAGAGCCGTCCAGAAATTGAAGCTAGCCTTGGAAATGTCTGATATAGATACATTTGATGAATCACTCAAAAAAACAAGGCATTCACGACACCACAAGGTAGCTGATGAATTTGATGAATCTGATGTAGATCACTTCACTCCAAGCTTCATTCCAAACGAAAGAAAAAAGGAAAAAAAACGACGCCCATCTCCTTTAGATTCGGATGAAGATGATGTAGAAGCATGTCCAGAAATGTCATCAAAACTCCCACCATTCCCTTCTTCTGCAAATTTTACCCTTGTGGAAAATAGGAAAAACAATACAGCTGATGATGAAATATTGCCAATACGAAATTCTGTTCCGCAACAATGCATGTCAATGTCAAGGGCTAGTACTCCTTCTTCGGTTACAAATACCCGTGTTTCTATCAGAGGTATACAGTTAATTATTGTATTTTACCCTTAACATGAAGTTATTTTTAGGGACGGATGAAATATTAATGAAATTAAACACACTTCTTTCCATAACAAAAATTATAGAAAACAGGTTAACTCTAATTGAGCGGAGTGTTTCTAATCTACAAGGTGAGGGAAATGCAAAAGCACCGTCTTCAAGTTACATGGAAGCAAAAGAATTTAACAAAATGTTTCCGTTAACAAGTGAAGTAGATTTATTGAATTTTGAGGAGAACCTAAAAGACGATACATTTTTTAATAAAATAGTAAGTAGAAGCTTTTATATTCTACATATATTTCAGGGATTATTTGTAGATTGCAACATTATGTACAGTTGGGGGTACCGATGTGCAGAGCATAACTGTTAACTTATTAAAAAAAATTCTTAGTAATTCCCTTGCAAATTTATTCTCATTACATGGTAAGAAGAAAAAGAAGATTTTCAAAAGTTTATATACATGTAATTTAATTGTGGATACTGTACGTAAACAGAAAACTGGAACAACAGAGGTGGAAATCCTAGCAATAATTGGAAGTTGGCTACCTCAATCCAATTTGCGTTTATCACGCGAACAAAGGTAAATTTCAGTTGAATATATCCAACATCATTGTAACAAGGCATTTAGTTTTTTTGATTTTGATATGTGCATTTTGTGCATAAAAATATTCCTACAATTTGATTGCTACCTTCAACAGTATTACTACTTAATTTTTTTAAAGATTGCATTTGTGTTCAATTAACATTATTTGTTAAATTCAGACTGCGGTGTGCATTCATCAGAATTTGTAACCAATGCAATTTTTGTGGTTAATAAGTCCAAATGTCTATTTAATATTTATGAAACGCTGTAGATGTCAGAATTAACTTTGTTAATTTATCTACGACTATTAAATAACGCTCAAATAACGTCACTATATTTTAGCGAATTATGATATGCATTATTATCGGTTCCTCTAAAATCCTTATATACAACTACTTTATGTCACTATATATTTCTCATAATTGCATATGTATAAGTTCATAATTGCATATGTACTAAAAATAGAACCGCCCATCTCGTATGTACTACCTGTCAGTTTTGTTTTGAATTAAGCATTTCTTAGGTTAGAAATGAGAGATTTCGGGTTACGTACGTTTAACTTTGTAGGTTTATTTGAAAAACAATTAATACAGGAACTTGATCCACCCCTATGACGAGATATGTGCGATATTTATAAAATGGGATGAAACAAACTTGTAAAATACCTGAAGTCATTGGCAAGTTCAGGCAACGTTACTTAACGACAGATACCTTCGCTGATACAAATATTCTGCATGAGCATGAATAAGGTTTTCGTTTGTATTTAAAGTATCTATACCTTCATATTCCCAAGGCATTATTTGTAGCATAATGGATTATCGGAAGCCCCATTTGAAGATTATGCTAGGTATAACCTATAAGTTTCAGCCTTTTACGAAGAGAAATATGTTTCGTACAACATATGTGGTATTGTTGTCGAAATTGTGCCACGATACAAAACAATAACATATTGTAAACTCGTTAATAATAAAGGATACAAATTGTCGTAGCACTTAACCACCGTTTTGCATGATTTATTTTAAGAATTGATAACTCGTAACAGGTCTTACATACTAGGCATTGACCAAATTACTACAATATGTACGTTAACTAATAAAAAACACATGTTGCCCTTAAATTTGCAATAAAACTATGCTTTCATTGCTTAAACTTCGTTTCTAAAAGAGGAAGAAACTTCTTGGATGCAGGTCGGAGAAGCGTAACGAAGTCTGAAAAATTAGATTATGTATGCGAAACAAAATATTGTATTCCATTTGGCAGCTGTGTAACAATTTCTGCAGGCATAATTGATACATCGGGATCGGATTTAGAGAATAGTTGTACATGTACATCACATAAATAATATCCACCTTACTTCCATAGGTTATGTCACAATCTAAAACAATGAAAAATGAATGACAACCATTTACCTATATTAGCAATAATCTTACGTGTAGGTAATTACGTGTTGAATTAATGACTTCTGGGAACTTAGATAAATTGCATATTTAGTTCGCCACTTAGGTACATTGCGATACATTGAATTAGATTTGAGGTTAAATACCGTCAACGAATGAACGAACGCAAACCAAACCATAGGCGTACATTGCGCTACCGCTATGAAGTTGCTACGTTTCAAACTGATTCAGATGCCGCATTTTCTATTTAAATAAATAGTCGTAGATAAAATAGCGTATTTTACTTGCATATAAAGGCGATTATGACACTCGGAAAAATTACAACACTCGCCTTCGGCTCGTGTTGCAAACTTCACCTCGTGTCATAATCGCACACTTTATATGCTCGTATAATAATATACTATTATTCAACCTTCTTAAACATTGTGTTCTTCTCTTTCAGGAAACAAAAAGGATTGGAGCAAGACAACGAATGAATCAATTCCGTTAATGTTCCCAATTTTTATATACTTAAGTACATATATTTTATAATATGTATTAGTATAGAAGGTACATTTTTGTATTTTCTCAATATATGAATATTTCTATTTTGTGTCTAATATATTTCTTAAATGTTTCATGTGTATGTTTCAGAAGCGTAACAAAACATATGAGAAATATTTGCTATGCATGTTTCTGAAATGTTGCATGTTATATTACATTGCAAGAACATTTTGCCGTTTATAAATATTTCAACCATGTTTCAGATATCTTTCCAAATATTTCAGAAATATATGATATCTTACAAAGAAATCTATCTGCAATATTATAGAAACAATACCGTGCTGTATGGGTAGGTGCCTTTATTTGTATGTGACATCCATCAATAAATCCAACAGTGTTTGGAAAACGATGTACACTATGGACGTATCTTTTGATATCATTTTGTTCCACAGCTGTCGGCCACTTAATAAAATCATTTCTGCATTCTGTTAATAATTTACAAACTTTGTGAAAAATAAAGTTGACAGTGGACTTACTCAATCTAAACAAATTACCTGCAACAACATACTTCTTAATTAAGAAAAACAATTAAAGTTCGTACTTACCTACTTCTCGATAGGAATCTTTATTTGCCAGAGTCCACAATGTTATACATATAACTGCTTATCACCTGGAACTTTCGCACTGTCAAAGTTGCACTTTGTCTTTAAATATTCATAGAGTGCCTGCAACAGTCAATAATGCTTTACATACCTACTTAAAATGAAAGCTAAGCATAACACACCTGCAAAGTGGTCCCCTTCATTCGAAAATGTTCCAAACATTCAGAGTCATTAAACGCTGCAATTTTTTCAATAAAGTTATGTGATGGCAAACTTAAAGCAGACCTTACACCATATTCTTCTGCAACTGTATCTTCTAAACCAATAACATCATCATTCATATTCGCTGATACTTTTGCAACTACGCTAACGGCTTTTATGTGTTCCTCCAACGGGTTTTCCATCAACATATTAAACACAAATTCATCCATAATTATTAGGTTAGAATTTTGTAAACAAAAGTATAAGCATGGTGGTGGATGCCGTCCAAGAAATTGCAAGCGATTACTAGCAGCAGGTCATCATAGATGTCGTAGCGCACAATCGTGATTACTGCTCCTGAACACAAGCAATGTATTCCTTCCTTTGTTTTTTTTTAATGAATAAACAAAGATCCCTTATTTTCACTCCTTATCATGACTCATGAGATTTCAAATAAGTATTCAAAAGTGAACAATAAATTAAAACGAATTCTTTCGCGCGTAATGGAATGACGTTGCAGAAAGCACATTACCCTATGCGTTGATCACGTGTTCTCTGTACTCGTCTAACATGTAAGAAAAGCGAATATTCATCTCTTTTTACTTATAACCTCGTGACCTGAGTTCGTTTTCGTTCGATTCGATGTAAGTACACGCAAGTGGAAAATTACTAAATTACCTAACCTATTTGTCGCTGCTGTTTCCGTTGATTTTTAAGATTTTTCTTTTTATTAGATCACCAGTTTTTGAAGTGTTTTGTGTCCATATTAATAACAATTGGTAAGGTACTTATTGTTTGGATTATTTCAATGTGTATCATTATGTACATGCAGCAATTACTATGGATAGCAAAATGAAAAAGAAATTAAGTAGGAACACGAGGGAAGGTTTAAAAATGTCCTTAAATATAATTTCTGGGAATGGTTCTGATGTTATTGAGGGCATCGCGGGGTAGGTGTACTAATTTTATTAAAGTTCATTACGAAGTATAGAATTTTGTATTTCAGTCAACGTTTCAGTTGTGAAAGTTCCATTAATATCAACTACTCTGTTTTTAAACTAGGAGGAGTAAATTGAAAAGTCTGATTTACATCCGAAAAAGTTACTAAATTTAGTAACTTTTGGGCAATTGTTTTAAGTATCATACATACGTACACATGTGCATTATGGGTTGCCTACTACATAAGGCATACATTATAAAAAAATGCAGTGTTGATCATTTTTATGGCTTTTTAATACACTTTACCCTACACAATTTGGTTGACAAGAAATTTTAATTATTATGTAGACATAAATGCAATCATTTTATAAAATCAAAAGGTGCTAGCTACAATATATTGTAAAGTTACAGCATTTTCAGGAATTTTCACTAAGAAAGATGCAAACCATTCTTCAAACATTTCCGCATTCATTTCTTCGTGATAATGGATGTTTTTCTTCCTTCAAAAAGTAGTAGACCCTCGTTTACGAAACTGTTTTCAGAGCCAACATGTAAAATAATGAGACGTTTCCCTTTTCCAGAAGGATTTTTTAAACCGGTAGACAATCCTTCCTCAAACGCTTCTCGTCGAGTACGAACGTTATCATCAGTCCACACTTTGTTTTGTATGGCCTTCATTTAACCATGTTTCATCTAAGTAATATATGACTCGTCCTTGGTTCCTATATTGTTTAATAGATTTTAAATGCTTTCGTGCTTTTGTCTTATTATGTCGTCACGTTCAAGTAGATGAAGGACACATTTGTGATAAAGCTTCACGACTATTGATTTTGTCCAACGTGGGAAGTTCATTGAGGTAGAAAAAGTTGTGAATAATTTGACGAACTGATGATTTTGTGCTTTCGTCAAATTGCGATACCAAAGGTGGGCGACCCCCCGAACGTTTAGAAGGTGTTACAGCTCCCGTTTTCTTATACTCCTTTATTGTTCGGTAAACCGTGGATTTTGCAATTCCTATATAAAAAAGTGTGTGTGTTAAATTAACATTTAGTGTTTGATTTCGTTGGCGTGGAATCCATATTTCGAAGTATATCCACCAACAAAATCAAGTACAGCGCTACCCAGAGACTTGCTATAACTAGACTGCGCTTAACGTATCTAAGGTGTTGTCGACACAGTATGCAACACACAATGCACCGCGGGGCAAACATCGCTGAGATGATATGCAATATAATGAAATAAGCTGTTATTTTAGATGTTCCGTTCATTAATCATTCTCGTGATTAGCTCGAATTAGTGAACAGATACATTTCTGTTGATAATAAACCAATAAACTTAGGTTAACTTGTGCTTATCAACATGTACTCTGTCGATAAATTTTTAAATAATATGCTGATTTTCAACGGATACAAGTTTAAAGGGCCAATGGATCAGAGCCATTCGAAGAGAAAAATTTACTCCCACCATAGTGCATTTGCGGGGAATGAAGCCGATTTTAGAAAGATACCTACGAAGGTGTTAAAAAATAATGCAATACCGAGCGTTTTCGACTTTCCCATTCACTTAAAATAACGTAGAACTATTATTCGGCATCCTTTACCAGCAAGACAACGGCAATACCTATTTGCCTATTAGGTATAGACGTAACTAAGTACTTACTGGTACTAAGTATATTTCAGGTTTTGTTACAAGAAAAATAGCTAAGTCTGTTAAATGTTCCATATATATGTGCAGATGCGATATTCGCATCAGAGAGTCATTCAAAGCTTTTAACTAGAAAAAATCGTGGAGGATTGTTGCACGTATCAAGCGATGCGTTAAAAGTTTACCAAATTGCTGAAAATGTGTTCAGGTTTTTCATTCAATCCACACCACACCGCGTTGTAAACAAAATGGTTATCAGCAGTCTAAGAAAAATAAATAACAGTTACAGCCCATTTGGGTTTTTGGATAGGCATATATTGAAACAAAATCCGCTAAATAATCATATCTTACTACTTATATCTTTAGTTTTAAGAGTATATTTTCCCATACGTGTTCACCACCAAAATACACATATAAATCAAATTAGGACTAGAGTAAGGCAGTTATATACCAATTTAGTTCAAATAAAATACCAACAAATTCGATTAAAATAGTTAACAGCTATATGTTATCTTTTTTTGCTACTAAAATTTAGAATAAACATGGCTAAAGCAAACTGCAGAACGTACGTCTGCCCCGCGATGAACAGTTGGTTGCCTATCCTATCTTGACAACAGGCGTTTATAGTAAAATCTACGTTACGCGCGGTCTAGTTATAACAAGTCTCT